TAATTTATTCATTTATACGACTTAATTAACGGGTTCTAGTAAGTGATTATTTAGAATTTATCGAACAATAGGAGCGTGTATTTTACAGACGGCGGGAGAAAATTTGCATCGCAATGGCCACAGCCGCGCTTCCGTCGCGTTGAGATTCTGATTAGCAGCGCGAGACAATGGCCGCCGGTGAATGTCGGTCGATCGACGTGACCTTTGAGCCGCTGACATTTTAACCCTAAGAAGAAGAGGGAGTCGTCGAGCAACTGCAACCGACGGCTCGTGACGTACGATCGGTGAAATCGAATCGAAGCGTACGTCGGCGAGCTTGCGGATTGATTGACCTTTCTACCGGGAGCTTCTGCCACGGAGGACCGTTTCATTGAAGTCGAGGTTACCCGAAAGGAAACAATATAGCTTCCAATCTTTTTAGAACCCGTGGGATCAACGTGGACTTCGATTTCGGTCGTAAGAGCACCACATTTGTTTCTCTCGCGGGGCCAATGATAAATTACGTCGCATAAAAGAGGGAGGCACAGTGTGAAGTGAAGTCGTCGAAGAAATTTCCAACATTAATATCTGAGAATTTCGGTCAGATTTTTCAATCTCTTTCGACGAGTTCCATCGACTGCAGTTCGTTACTTTATCCACGCTAATCAGCACTAATTAACGCTTCGAGACTAACTACACGGTCTGGATAATTGATTCGAAGCAGCTTTTCAGTGTCGGAACAGTGGGTACACTGTGAATCAGCCGCGTCAAACTGTGACCCTGAGAAAAGTCTTCGAACAAACCGCGAGAACGCGGCGGTGCTCTGTTCTCCATTGTTCGCCTCTTTATATTCCACTGTTTTTCACCTCTGGTTCTTTGAACTACTTGGCGGTACATTCTACTCGCGGTTAGAGCACGTGTAGGTCACAATTGACTCAACTCAGCTACAGTGCTGGAAAACTCAATCAACGACCATTTCAATTCCAAAATTTTAAGAGTTGATTCTACACATCAAAATAAGACGAAACTGAAGAATAACAAAATTGCGTTCGAGGCTTCGTGTTCGAGCAATTAATTGCTAAAGCGTGAGACTTGAACAGGGCGCACCACCCAACTTAAGCACCCCAAAATCTCGTTTATTTCCCACGATAGGAAAAAACGTTAAAGGAAAAAACTGCCTGGTTTTAAGGGACAAATACTCTGGCAAACAAAAGAATTTCCTCAAGCTCATATTTTTCGAGATTTCAAGGTCAACGACATTAGGAACGATAAAATTCCAAGGCAGAGACATCTTGGGTGGTCCCTTTTCAGTGGAAAGCAGAACCCCGTGTCCCACGATTAATCCAATCCCGTCTCCTGTGCGCCAAGTTCTCCGAAGTAGGCACGCGCCCCTCGATCCCGCGTTCCAGGGCAGAACCGATGCAAAGCTATCGCAGCCAGCCACCATTGGTCGTTAATCTCGTTCGTTGTGGAATCACGTCCGGGGGTTATTTCGAGCGGAAGTGCATCGGGGCTTAGTCTGCGCGCGCTAAGCCTCTCTGGAAGGGCGTCCGAGTGGTCCGAAAGTAGACGCGCCGCCTCTAAATTTAACCTCGGCGTCTGGTGCACGGCGCTCCGCGTCTCGGGAATGGTCCCGTTTAAAGTGCACCGCGCCGGGCATAAACAAAACAACCCGGAGCCCCGCGAACGTATAGGGGGATGTTAATGGAGACGCATCGCCAGCCCAACCGTCGAAGGACGCCATCGGCACGCACCCGATAAATTTAAACCCGACGCGAATTTTCGTTTACGTGGAGGTTTTCTGGCGCCCGTCATCGCCGTGATGCCCAAATTAAACGTACACGATGTTAACTCGAGTACTTGGAAATAATTCAGCGAAGTATAGACGCGGAGTTACTCGATAGGGGTGAACAATCTATAAGTGTCGAATGTGCAACAGTTATACCAATATGGTATTTCTCGAGTGTGGAATCAATATTAAAAATGTAGCAAAGTTCGACACATTGGTTTTACCAATTATTTATCACAACGGACCGAAAATTTTAGAGCAATGTTCGTTGGAGGTTGAAGTTGATTCTAATTTCGACATTTAACCATACCCCAGCCTTAATTGCAGTGAAAACAATTTTCTCGGGTGCACCGACATGTTACGTCCTCGATGTTTCCTCAACTATTAAATTCTGAGAATAATGAACGCGACGCTGGCGATACTCCTGTTCCAAATCATCGAGATATCGAATCCTGTAACGAACTGCTTTGCAATAAAACTGGCAGAATTTGTAAAAAGTTTTGTCGAACACCCCTGACCAGGTTCGAACATAAATCAAATGCAAGTTCCGAAATCTTCAATGTTGCAAAATTTATATAATCACGCGTTGCTGGCTTGTGAAATTTTCCGCGAGGCCAAACTTTTATTTTTTTTGGGGCAATTGGAAATTACACAACAAGATTTTCTCCTCCTTTTTGAAATATCGTACGAGCGATTTTCGTGTTCGATAGATACCAATTTTAAAGAATCCCGTTAATTACCATTGAATGGATCAACGCAATTTTTTCCTAGGTCAGATTCATTTGCTGAGCGTTCGTCCCAGTTTCTGGTATCGTCCCGTATAATTTCTCGAAACGGTAAGCGGGAAGTCGTTCACGCATGCACCTAAGACGCAAAAAGAGACGACTATTACTCACGGGACGACCCGATAAAGCAGCGACTTCCTGCCTTCCCGAAGCGCGACGAGCCACGGGAACGAATTAAAGCTGCACGCTATCTCGCGCGCCGTCCATAAATCATATTCCCGTTCGCCGCGAGAACAGATGCGTTGCTCCGTTGCGAAAGATCGGATATGCTCTACGCTTCGATGCATCGCGAACGACGCTCAAACGCCCCGCGGTTTCGTCACTCGAGAAACCGACGCGATCTACGGGATCGCTGTCACGGGTGAGCCAATCCACGGTCGCGGCGATCGCGAACGCGCCACTGATTGGCTCACTCCACGCGAAATTCGATACTAACCCAAAATTTACTGAAAAAAAATTTTTAATTTTACAGTAGTTCGAAGAATAGACTCCAATTTACATTAATTACGTCACAGATTGTAAAGATTGGACCTCCTTCGGGAATCAACGAAGCTTGTAATTAGTAATCTCCGGAAGATGGTTCTATATTTTTCTTAGCATTTCTGTCTATAAGTAGAAGTTCTGTACCGAGCACATTTTCTATTGATGTTAGCACACCAGCTGGAATATGTAAGAGGGTTCCAGAATTTTTTTCCCCCTTCGCGTGATGGATGAGTGGGATGTTGGATTTATTTTGAATGTAACCGATTCTGCTTAAGAAGGGGAACGCTTCTGTGAAAACGAAGCGTTATAACATCTTAGGCTTGGAAAGGAAGCAAGTACCTAATATTAGGCTGCTTTGTTTATTAGTCGAAGCCTAAGTACGCTAATATACGTTGGTCCATTCTAAAATGGAAGTATCTAGACATCTTCTGATAAACTCTTTTTAGAGTAATTTAGTATTGTTTATTTCAGAGTACTCGAAAATATTGAACAATGCAAGAGTTCTCAAATTTAGCAATGTTTCTCCCCTGTTACGTTTAGTAATAGCTAAGAAAATGAGAATGATATTTATCCAGTTCGACACGTTCGCATCTTTCGCGCTGTTAAACCGCCATAGGCGCGTTAATAGATTCTATACGACGATATTAACATTTCCTATCGGCTTCGCGAGATTCCCAGTCGCTGGAAAGGTGCATCGTCGGTATATAATCGTCGACTCCGAATCGAAGGCTGCGCGTCAAAGTGGTGCCAATTAAACGCGGCTTTCACAATTAATCCAAGAAACCGTGAAAGCCGACCAGCGCTTTCCACTTAACGATAGATTCATTTAAAAAGTTAATTGAGTCGAGAATCGGCCCAGCTTCGAGGTAACTCGCGCCTCGCCTGCGGAGCTTTCATAATATCACTCCGATAAATCTGCTCGGCGCACCAGGATACCGATCGACGTTCCGAGTGTTTATGCTCCGTTTCGCCTAATTGCGCCCGCGAAACCGGAATGCCGTTATCCCGTCAGTGGAACGCAAGAACGACCGGGTGAGAAAGGGAAAGAAAAAATAGAAACGATTTTGCCGCTCGCCAAGGACACTCAAGCGATTTTCCATTCTCCCCCGTCTCATTTTCTTTTTCTCCATTTTCCACTTGTAATCGTTACGACAGCCAAACAAAGTGAAACCTCGTTGCAATATAAGCTTAAATTTGTCATATATTAGATACCTCAACGATATTGTATCCAATTTCGAAAAATAGGCAACCCTGGTTAACCGTGCATTATTTTATTGCCGGCCAGCGATAAGGAATGCAATTATTTTTCGGTTGGCCCAACCCGCGATGGGTTAAATGTCGTAAACGAAGTGCGTCGATACGACCACGCTAATGGCGCCACGCGAAACACCGTTCTGCGTGCCGTTATCGCGCGCATTACTGGCGTCCGAGGCTCGCGCCGCGAACGGGACGCGGCCGAGCGTCCCGGCGGCGTTCCTCGCGGCCAAACGATTCCGCCTTAAGATGCTCGTAAAGTTTTACGAGGCCCCCGTTGGTCGTTGCGCCGCTGCACTTTTCGCGTACCGTGTGCACGCGGCGCGCTCTTTAAATAGCCCGCGCTCGCGCCTGCGCGCCAACGCGACCGGCGAACGAGCACGCGCACGCCAGACGGTCGCTTCCTTCCCCGCGATCCATTCTTCCGACCGGATGTCGTGCCGTGCCCATTCATTCGTATTGTACGGGGGAACCATTGCCCCCTCGCCCTCCTCCTCTCGATGACCCGCGGGCGTGCATGCACGCGCCAACGACGCCGTGACGCGTCGCGCATACGTACGAAACTCGATGTCTGGGGATGCGCAAGATTTTATAGTGTACAGAGTCGACGAGGAATCGCAAACTTTTGAACGAAAATGATCACTTTCAGGCTGAAATCAATTTTTTAATTTATAATTTGAAACAAAATGTGGTTATGGGTAGAGACTCACCTAAAATCCCGGAGCTTATGGACCTGTTCCCCGCTCTGCCACTGTTATTAGAGTTCAGGATACCTGGGCTTACGTCGCGTTAATCCTTTCAGACCTGAAATTTAAACATGATTTTTAGTACCTAGAAATATATTATATCCCTGTTATAATAGCTCTATCGTTAGAGTACAAATAAAGAGAAGGTGATTGCCACCAGGACCACCAGATTCACTTGAAAGCGGGGTGGATGCACCGAGAGGGAGTGACACCTAGCGAGTCTCGCGTTACAAGCCCTCGTGGCCCGAAAATTGTGTCCCACAATGTTACCAATGACGCTTCTGAATGGGACAATACGTTTCGAGCAGTATCGCTTTGTGTATGACAAAGAAGCAATAAGTTACAAGCGATACATCGCCCTTGAGACTTCAGCACGCGACTCATGCTAAATTACTGTAGCACTTACTTAACATGCTGACTCTAATTTCACGTTACACAATCGTTTTCATTCTAATTCTCGCATGTTATAACACTGACAATCTGACTCATTTCCGTGCAATCTTCGTCGTACTTTTGATATCTAATTATCACTGCTCGACAGCCGTACGTTCGGACTTTTTCGTTGAAGGAAAATTTTTGACAGACTTTTTAAATATTATTTAGAATCAGATTCTTGAAAAGAACGTATGGTTTAAAAATGTTTGCAAAATTTGTATTCTATTGAAAATATTGTCTCAGCCTTGTCACGGTTCTGGATCCACGGGCCCCAGTGTGAGATACGCTGCCCTAAAAGATTACCCACCTGTAGTTAAACACTATGTTTAATATGCTGTCCAAGTTCCATTCAAGGTACCACGATACAAATTAAAAAAATAAACGATAATTTAAATAGCAAACATTTCCAAGCAGGACAAAGAATACTTCGTTGAAAGGAAATTTTGAACGCAAAGGGTTTGAAATTCTCTCGACCATCCATGTTTTCTGGAGCTTCTCGAGTCGTGGAACAACAAAATGAAGGTAAGGAAATAAAACGTGCTCCGGAGAAATTTGAAGACCGGTCCCGTTCCACTTCCGCCGCGGGGTTGCTACGCGTGGCGTTTCGAGCGTTCTCGCGGAACGAGGGAGTTTTACGGTTCGCGCGGGGCGGTAACGGCTTAATAATACGTTGACAAAATAAAAATATCCCCGTCCGTTGCGGAATGCGAAATTTATCCATGGGAAAGCCGCGGCCGCCGACCAAGTTTTACGCGCCTTTTGATCGAGTTTTATCGTCGGCGGGATTTTTATTTTTCGCGGCCCGCGCCGGGGAAACAGAGGGCTGAAAACCGCTCGCCGACCTTTTTTCACTGTTCCCATCCGCGGGTTAACGGGTGACCAGCAGAGAAAATTACTTTCTGAATCTCGTTTCGTCTCGCCACCCCGAGCCGTCCGCGGATCTAATCAAAATAATTAAGCGGTAGCAAACTGCTCGCGTAACTGGTCTTGGAATAAAAACAGTCGCCATTTTAATTCTCTGTACACCGCGCGACGCCACCAGTCGCGTGGTAAACTTTGCAAGAACGGTCAATGCTACCAGACAATTCTAATTTTATACAACGTAAACGAAGGAACGATCGAGCAAATTTTATTTATAACATACGATGGATCTTCATTTACGAACGAATCTAAAATTTTCATTCGTTGGTCACGGATACAAAACCTTACGCATTTACTCTCGCAATTATCTGTCCCAATCCCGCTTTCAATTTATTCTTATCGGTGGTACGATCGAACAATTAAATTTTTAGAACGAACTTGCGCGTCGTTGGATCGCAGGAAACTCGCGTTGAGACGGAAAACGGTACTTCCGGCGGAGACTCTGATTCTGAATCGCCGCCTCTCTTCCCGTTCGCGAGCTTTTCACTTCTTAATTGCCAGATCTCGCGGATTAAATAATATTCCGTCAGGCTGGCCGCGCGCAAGAATTAGAGAGCCGGCGATTCATTCACGTCGGCCAGGAAAAAGCGAACGAGAGATCGTTGGAACGTTCCTGCCGAGTGACACGGGATCTTCCGCTCTCGTGGCGCGAATTTCTTCGACCGATTGTTCTTATCTGCGGGCGTAAATCTTCTCGGACGCGATGTATTTATCGCCGAGGAGAGCACCAACCCAACGGCCTCGATTCCTTCGACGATACACGACCGTTTCGCGTTCAATTTAAGTGCAAAAAAGAGGCCGTCCGCACGTGGCGAGCAACGTTCGTTGGGCTGTGGTCCACGGACGTTGCCAACGCGTTCGAATACCGAAGAAATGCGTATGTTAAGGTCGATGAACTCCTAAACAATAAATACTATTTGAAAAATATTCCTAATCAAACGGTATTGTTTCAAATTATCCAAAAGTTGATACCTCGATAGAAAACAGGCAGATGAGAAGATCTTAAAAATTGGGTCATTCTCCCAAAAAAACAGAAGCTAGGGCACCATGTGGTCGCGAGAACGTCGCACAGTCGAACATACTACTCTGTATAACCATGTTTTTATTTTCAGAAAATTAATCCACTTTCTCGGACTTCTCTGGATCCGTCATTTTAACGAGTTTGGTTTCTCTCACTGTTAATGGCGCCAGCATGTAATTATGATGAACGACTCCGTCAATACGCGGATCAACGATAAGCGGCGAGAATAAGACACTGAAAAGCTTTTATCAGACATTCGAAACGCTACCAAGGAACGATTGAGTCCGTGATATACTAATGCGCGATCGTAAACTGGCATTACCGCTCCCGCCATTATATGGTTAAGTAGGTAACGTCGCGAAACGACTAGGCTGACGTGTAACCTCGCGGTTTTAAGAGTAGGTAACGTCCTCGTAACACGATCCAGCATCGGTTGAAATCGACGTTCGATGGCTGCTGGACGTCGATACTTTCTCCAAATGCGTTCTCTATCTACCGATAAAATGAAGGAACGAGTCACTCGTTACGCGTCGAACGAAGAGTATCGCATCGAGCGTTCCTGTCCTATCGAGATACGGACGGTTGAATTATTTCGAACGTTCGAACGTTCGATCGCGATGGAACCTTCTTCGAACTGGTAGGAAAACATGGATGTTTGCTTAAGGAAGCTTTCGAATAATGGAATCCTTAATTTTAGATAGAAAGGGAATTGTTCTGTGTAACGATTCGCTGAACTGTAGAACAATCGTGTTGGTCACGAAGACGCGTCGCGATCTAAAATTGAACTACATGATATTTTTAACCCTTAATTTGAGGCATTTCTGGTCTCAAATCGTATGAAGACCGTCCCAGCACTAGCATTTGCTACAATTTCTATTCGTATTATCCGCAGTATATAAAAGCGTATCAAAACAGTTGACACTTTCACAAAGGATGACAGGACGACAAACTGACAAGTGAAATTGATGAAATACTACTAAGTCACTGTTTCAACCTCGAAGATGGTGATTTGTGTTTTCGAAATTTATTTATTTAATCCCGATGAGCTTTCTAGGGAATGTGAACACGCTCTGAATACTAATAATAATCTCTCTGAATAATAATTAAAGTCAATAACTGATTCGATCGAGAAATAACTGATAAAATCGAAGCGTTTATGATAATTTAATGGCATTTCCAGATGAAACCAAGATTTCGTGGAAATTCTCTTAAGAGCCTCGCCCTGTATAAGCTGGTACCGACATAAGATTCCTGTCGTCCCTTTCCGCGGTTACAGATATAGGTCACTTCCGGCGATTATGCATCGTAGTATAAAGAAACACGCGCGCGCGCGGAAAAGCAGCGGTCGCGGGATCTCGTGCAGTCGGTTTAGAAATTCCTCTTCCTGTTGGTAACCAGATAAATCGGAAAGATATCCTTCGAGAACATAACGTAAATACGTACGCGTCTAGATAAAGACGTCATTGTGATGGCTTTCATCGCGAGTGGTGTTCCCTCCATTAACAACGGATTCACCGAACTTCGTCGCCATTCAATTTATTACTTTCCAGCAACTTTCGCGGACGTCTCGCCGGATAGAAACGCGCCAATAGGATACAAATTTCAGATAATCTCGACCTTACATACTTGAGATTTTTCAGCAAGAAAAAAATGGTTTCTTCGGAAATTCTACCATTTCCTTATTTTAGAAAATAATTAAAATATTACAGGCTACGTTTTAAGTGTTGAATTTACAGTTCGTCACTCGAGCCACGCGCTCAGAAGTCGCAATGCAAGGTGACTCGCGGGGCGCATGCGCTCACGGAGGAATTCGAAATGGCGCGCAGTACGTTTTCCGCGAAGCAAACGCGGAACTGCAACCTGACAAGCTCCCTTATAAGACAACAGACGGAAGCCACGGTGGAAAAGCATTGCAGACGATCGAGTCGAGCAAAATTAATGACACTCTTTAGCATATGTTCTAATCTTCAACGATATTTAAGCGTATCAGAAAAATTCTTCGAAAGTAGTTGCCTTTACAATTATAAATATTCCGTTTCGAATACAGTCCTAACTTTATTCCAATAAATTCTAAATATCGAACCAGAAAATTTATTCAACAATTTCTATTCCTTGGTATACCAGCTTCACTGAGGACTATTCAAAAATCGAGATGGTAAATTAAATCAGAAGACCCGTTTAATCATGTCTGGTCTTCCCATGACGATATCGGAGAAGACTTCTAACCTTTGATAATCGAACGCTGGGGAAAGTTACCGTCCCCCGACCGTTGCATTAACTATGGATAGAACGTTTGCTGGATCGTTGCTCTCCGAACAGTGTATAAGTACGTAAATAATATGCTTTAGTCCACGACCGCGTTACGAGCGTTTCCTTTTACGGGGCAGCCGCCTATGGCCGAGGATCGTGACTTCGCGTTATCGTTCGACTCCAAGAACGTGTCCCTCCGATTTTTATTAACCATGATACAGGGAAACTGCACGGACTCGGAACAATAGACCTCTCTTCTAGCATGACTGTTCCACGCGAACAAAAACATCGAACGACCGATGCTGCATTCGCGTTACGCGATTATTCGTTAACCCTCGCGTTTTCAACATATTCAAAAAATCAGAGGAGAAAGTGTCCGTGTATTTATTCGTATTAAATAACAGATAAACATTAAAAACCAACGCAACGTC